GAGAGAGAGAGAGAGAGAGAGAGAGAGAGAGAGAGAGAGAGAGAGAGAGAGGCAGGAGGCAGGAGTTAGTGGATGGGGGAGACAGAAAGAATAGGAAGGCAGAACAGGGTCCTGCATGTGTCACTGAGGGAGCAAGTCAGCCCCGCGGGGGCACAGAAGCCACCAGAGTTTACAGATGTCAGTCATAGGTGTATTGGGTGATGCCATTTGTCACAGAGCCCCTTTGTAATTGTATAAAATGTCCTGAAACTTTGAAACTAGTGGGGTCAGGACAGCAAATTTTTTTCACTGATGCCACCATCTATTTCCCAGGCCCTTTCACTTTTATTTATTCATTTTATTAGGTTTTTTTTTTTTACTTTTAAAAAGGTCCGCAGACCTAAAACTCTATGTGGCATGAATTGCTTAATGGGTTCAAAATGATCAGTAACTAAAATCTGAAGGTTTATTTCATGTGGATAATAATGACACACTTCTCACTCACATCTACTTCAAATGTTTTTCATTTTTTTGTGACAAATGGCACATCCCCCTCCCCCCCTGCCAAATACCCAAAGGCAGACAAATCTGAGAACAGAAGTAACCACCAGCACCACAGGGAAAAACAAAACGGAGGTCTTCTGTTTCCTTGACCGACTCTTTTCTAGCGTCAGTTGTCATTCCCAGCCAGGCAGGCAGGAGGAAGGGGCAAAAGGGAACCCGAAACTCAGCAAGCGCGTCGTTAGCAGCCACGAACTCCGTTTCCCCCTTCACATCTGCTGAGCTACCAAGATGGGCAGCTCAGGCTCCTTCAGAAATTCCTTTTTATCACCTTCACAGATTCGAGAACCCGATGGCATCTGCCCAGATCGAGACAAGCTCCTCCCCCTTTCACACGTTAGTCTATTTTTGTATAATCTGTGTGCTTCCAAACACACAGTGAGTTCCCCGCACCTGTCTATGAGGAAGTGCACTGTCAGGCCAGGGCCGGGTCATCGGCACAAGAGGACAGGCTGACAGGCTCTGGGCTTCCAGCTCGTCGCCACCGAGCCAGCCGAGTTGTCCTCTCCTGGGTCCTCACTGGCCCCCCAAGTCTGATCATCTCAAATGCCCTCCAAGCTGCTACAGTCAGTGTGGTTTTGATCTACACGAGTCTAGCCAGGTCGGCCCCTACTTATAATCTTCCCTTAGTTCCTGGGAGGAAGATCGGGTTCCTGAGTGTCACGCTAAAGGCTCAGGAAGTGTGACCCCGGGGGCTGTTCCAGCCTCATCTGCCACCCCTTGCCCACCCACATCCTCAGCCACAGCCACACCCCGAATCACACAGTCCCTCAGCTCCCTGCTGCTTGCACCCTGTGCCTCCCAACGAAGCAACACTAACAGGGTACTGAGGGCTTGTCGGGCACTGTGGTGGGTGCTACTTGGAGAAAATTAAAACTAGAAGTGATGCCGGACTCAGCTCCTGCCGCCCTGGCCCTGGGATGGCA